ATCTGTGATTCCCAGACCTAAAGAGTCATTTGAAATTTGGAAAACATGTCAAACATGTTGTTGATAAATCGTCCTTTCCCTTGTAAACGAGTAGAAACATTGATTAAGTGGCTGATTGCATCAACGAGATACGCAAAATAACAAACCCGCTCTTTGTCTTCAAACTCTGGATACTTTTTGACTTGCTTTCCGTGAATGGTAGTGACTTCTTTGGTAGTTTCTTGGTACATTGTCTCAACTAGCGTGGCAATTAATTTTAAAAAACGCGCATGCCAATCTTGCAGAACGTGGCAGCTTCATGTGGTATTCGAAGTCGCAAAACTGAACTGAACGCCAATCAATTCGTCACTCACACTTAAGCTGCACTTATATGCGCTGTACTTGCTCCCCTTATCGGGAGACGAGAGCTTAAAGCAACGATGCCACGTCTGTGGGCGAGAAATCACCCCTCCACGCAGTTGATCACCTCGCCACATGAGAGCAGTACGTAGTCAAAGACGCCCCGAACTCTTTCACGCTTTACACATGAAATACGATTACGCATGTACAGTGAGTGTAAAAACTATTGATACCGTTAATATTGCAACAAAAAGCACTGCATTTCTCTAAAATAATATATTTGCATAAAATTATACATCACACTGTACTACTTACTCAAATTACTAACGGTGGTTACTGAAATGCTTATTTATAAACAACAAATTGATTATATACAAATGAATACGAACTAAATTATGTAGGAATGTAAATAACAAAATTATATGCCAGAAATGAAGAAGAAACGTATTCGTACGAATAATAGTTTTCAAAAAATATTTTTCTGGTAAATATCTGATGCTAGTTGCTCGTGGCAAGCCACGATGCCAGGTAGCGTGCCGCTACCATCAGTTCGTTCTTGATATCACTGGCTTAAAGCTTCTTCCTGCTAAAGTGGTGCTCCCAGCCGGAGATAGTTGAAGGGTATATATATTTGCGAACGACCTGAAGGTCGGACTCAAGTTTCACGTAGCTGCGGGGGAGGAAGAAATGGCGCCTTTCAGCATGCACCACACGTACGGGACTAGTGACCATAACACGTGACGCACCTAGAAACCACAAAGAATCCGTAAACGCGTTGCAAGCTATTTTCTCCAGCTGCTCACCACCAGCTGACACTTGCTCCAGCTTCTTAAGCTGTTATCTTCACCCAAATAAGCTATTTCCCCCGCTGCGTTATTCTGATTGCCTCCAGGGTGTACAGATAAAAAATAACTTTCCACGACTATTAATTTCAGGAATTACGCACACTTATTAAGTATAGCAGCATTATGAACAATCTGTTGTGTTGAAAGAAAACGTTCATAACAGGGTCATTTACGGTACAAATTATAACGTATTAGCAGTTTTCGGCACGAATGGTTGCGTCATCGTAGCCAGCCAATCGCAGCCAGAGAATAAAACGCTGTGACGTAGCGGTAAACAGAACAGGCGACCACAGTTTTCTCTCATAGATGTCAAATAACCGAGACGTCATAAGAATGTTGTTTCGCAAACTTAAGTTTGATTTTCTTATAATTTTATAATGCATTTACACCAAAAAATAGCATATGCAACTCATTTGTAATGTTGCTATATTGCATTCCTACAAATTTAAAAACTCGCTCTTAACGTTGCTCGTTTTCAAAACATGAACTCACGCAAAAAAGCTCAACAGTACAAACTAATTGCATAAACTACTATTATCGCATTGGGGGGGGGTCTCCTTTTCTTCAGCTTATTTGCAGTACCACATCTTCGCTCCTTAACGGCTGTCCACCAAATTCCAAAACGCCCGTAAAGCCAGGCAGGCGGCGTACTCGTAGTACACACTCCGGCCGCGAGGTGGCGGGCGCGCGGTGCGGGATGTTTTACAACGCGCGGCGGCGCGGCTGGAAAAACGGAAACACGGCTGCGGAACAGCTGGCCGCGATGGTTGGCTGGCGCGCCCGCAAAATCGCCCACACGCAGGGGGCTGTGCTTTTTGGCGCAGCGACCTCGCGTGATCTATTGCGATAGGCGTGTGTACGCGCCGCTTCCGATGTAACGCAGCCAAAAAGGCGGATGCGCTAGTTGCGGCTTGCAGTGGCCTTGGCGGAATTTAAGAGCTTAGTTTGCGGCGTTAGTTAAATGATACCGTTTTCTAGGAATTATAGAGGAAAGGAATATAATGAAAGGGCGTGTAATACATGAATAAGCTTGCGTTAAATGTTTTTTCTCCACAATGAAATTGAATAATATTTTGAATAATAAATCAAAAGGTATTTGCGGCATTTAAATTTTAATCCAAAATGACTGGCACTCAGAGTTACAGAGGTTCTCAATGCAAGTGTAAATTATTGCTGAAGGTATCTAGATAGCAGATTGAATTGAAAGGGTTAAAGCTGTAATGCAAAACGAAAACTCAAAAGCTGGGTTAGGCTTAATTGTCCTACTCGCTGGTGATGCGGCATTCTCGCCACGTTAAAAAAAATAATTATTTTGGATTTTCTTCTGACTGCAAACTGTGCGCTAAATAGCATTAAGGAATATTACTCCGAAATCAGGGGAATAAATTAATGCAGTTTTATGGGGGTGATTTCAGCGCCCTGAGGGTAGGTGAATATATCCGCACCCTTCAGAAAATGTGAACCGAAGACCGAGAACTGGGTTATTTTTTTGTTGTTCGTAGGCAACATGATTGTTAAATGCAGCTTGAGTCGTTCAACGCACAGTTTGTTAAATAAATAAAATCTGTGAAAAAAGTTATAAGAATTCATCACGCTACATCAGTATGCGTTACAGTGAGGATAATGAACATTCATTTAAATATTTGGTAATAGTAATCACCAGCAACTTTGTAATCATATTTAGGAGCTATGAAGAAAACACACAAAAAGCACAATAAACTCTTGAACATTATTATAAAAGTTTTTTATATATTAAGTAGTTAAGTATTTTAAGAACTAAAATTATTCCATAAATATAAATCTCCAAAACGGCTTTATCTTCTGAATATCTTTACACAAATATAATTAATATCTATTAAACAAAATGAAAGTAAGTCATCCGGATGGCCGAGATCGTTAAGACAGTAGCGCTGCATTGATTTCGGATTGAAGGATCACGGGTTAGAGTCCCGCCTCGGTCATAGTTGTATTTGTGTTCGTTCTTTCACCCTTCACCATCACCATATCGCATCAGTCTGTTAAACGTGTACTCTAGAGTGGTCGTTAATAACCTAGCTGTTAATGCGATATTAATTAGAAAAAATTAAAAGGGAAAGTAAATAGGTTTTATGTGTCACAAAAACTTTCAATCCTCTCGAGGAATTTCAAGAGGTTGCCACGAGTACTGTTGATCGGCCAAAAATAAAAATGTAGTAGTTGCGATTCAAAATGTTACCTCCAAATTTGTTGTTTAAAAATATATATTGTATCGTACCTCCAATATAAAAGTGACAGAAGTGCGAATTTATGATTTCTCAGAAATTGCAATTGTAAGTTTCGTAGTTCTGTAATACTCGTTATAGATTGTACCAAATATTTAACTTTAGTCGGACAGTAATTGAAGTAATTCAAAATCAACCTCAGAACAGTAGCAGCACCTCTTGGTAACCTCTTATCAGCTTTTAGCTGAAAAAATGACGATTTCGCACTTGTGACCCTTTTCCTCACTTTTCTATTGGAGGTGCGATATATTAAGCCGAAGGCTATCCCATGTCGACCAGGGCGTCATTGTTACCGGGTGACAAGGGGGAAGGGTTGAGCGGAGCGGGCTAGAGCGGAGCGGACTAGAGCGGCAGTGGGGAGGGAGGACTTAGGCTAGAGGGGTGGTGAGGTAGACGGAGGTGAAAGGGCAATAAGCGGACGGAGCAGAATGAGCGAAAGAAGTGACCGGAGCGTGATGTTCGCGAGGAATACGGGATAGAGCGGAAGAGGTAAGATAAGCGTAAAGGGAGATGCGGGCAGGGTAGGGCGTGCGGGACGGGTGAAGCGGCTTAATATAGTATGAGTGTGATAAAAAATACTCGGGCAACGATGGTAAATCACATAGTTGTCAATCAAAAATTAAAACGTGTTATATTTCGAAATAATATTATACATTAAAATATTATCTTAGGTAATTTTGAAAACAGAGCCATAAGGCCCAGAAGGCTATACCATACCATAAGGACCAGAAGGCCAATGAATGCAGATTTCTTTTCAACAATAAATTCTTTTGGTCTAAAACTTCATCTTCATCGTGTTTCCTTTATTCAATGAGTAAGTTTTAAAGTGATCCCTTGCTTTGTTTATGGTTACTAAATATTTATTCCGTCATAAATTCGTCTTACTCACTTCTATTTTTATAAATAATAATATATTTATAATTAAATTTAATAATTAAATAAAATAATTAAATTTATAATTATAATGAACCACGAGGCCCAGAAGGCCATACCATACCATACCATAAGGACCAGAAGGCCAATGAATGCAAATTTCTTTTAATCAAAAAATTCTTTTGGTCTAAAACTTCATCTTCATCGTGTTTCCTTTATTCAATGAGTAAGTTTTAAAGTGATCCCTTGCTTTGTTTATGGTTACTAAATATTTATTCCGTCATAAATTCCTCTTACTCACTTCTATTTTTATAAATAATTGAAAATACGTATACAAATAAAATGTTCGTCTACATGTAGACATAAGCTGAACTTTTCCCTAACGCTCTGAAACATGGACGTTTGCGTGTTATCAGTTCAGCAGTTAAAACAAAGTATTCTGTAAATCGCGAAGACGCTGGGCCTCACAACTCTACCGAGCCCTTTGCGGCGATGGTTGCGCAGTGCAGCGATTCTTTCGCGAACCTCCCGCCTCGGCGCCTCCCATTTCACAGTCGCTAACGGACAACCGCGCCGGCTGAAGGGTGGAATTGCAAACCCGCGGCGCTGCCCACGTGTTCCGTCAATGAAGGCCAAGAGCTTCACGTACATCGCGATGTTGTGATGGTAATGGTAATATTTCGATAGTGATGCTGTGCGTTCCTGAAGTTCAAACACCATTGTACAATCATATTAATCCCATAGTTATTACTACATTAATCGTGTGTATTTATTAATATTTTTTGTTATTGTTGTGATGGTGGTTAAAGTGGCTATTAGCGTAGAAATAAAATGCGTCGTTATAATCGAGCAAATCAAGCTGAGAAAGAGAGAGCGGTAAACTTCTGAAAAGCAAAAAACAACAACATTGTGTAAAAGCATTTTCTCAATCTTAAGTGCAAGGACGGTATATAGATCGCCGAATCGTTCACGTCATTGGTGATGGTGAAGAATGTGAAGTCGAGATGACGGCGTGCAAGTGCTGGACGGAGGGTGCGCGATGTGTGTTAGCGTGTGGTGGACGTAGACGATACCGCACGCGCGGGTGCACGTGGCTGTTGGCGCTGATCCTGGTGCTGACGCCTGTTGTCATCGCGGATAACTTAGGTGAGTGCACAACGGTCTGAGTAGGCGTACGTTAGATGCACAGAATAGGTAGTGTTTTGGTTTTTGAGTCTGTGTCTATTTTTTTATTTTTTTCAAATTGCCACTCGTTAATATTTTAGACAAATATTTAAATTATTATATTTCCAGCTTAACTGAAAATACGTAATTGTTTGTCTGGTAGCTGTCTAAAATATTAAGATGTACCCATTTGAAAATAACAAATAAAGAAGAAGAAGAGGTGGGTATGAGATTCATTGGTATTTGATAAAAGTGAACACTTCTTTCCGTTCACTATCGTGTATCAATATTCAGTAAACATTAGTGAATCTGTTGTGTTTGGGAAGAGATTTCACTTTTGCTTAGCAAATAGCAAATGTATGATGGCACATACATTATTTATAATGTTTGTATTTTTTGTAATGAAATATTGTGAATGAAATATTAGGAACGATATTTTAGTTTTACTAAGGGCAGATCAAAAAGATTTACAGTGGCTCGCCAAGGAGATAGCAAGGTTACACGTCTACAGGCGCTCGCAAGAATAGCGTCCTGAGTAGTTGTCAATAGGTGCAAAAGTAAGAGTTCCACAGATTGCTTCAAAGCGGATGATGGCTCGCGATTCTTCATTCTTAATAATCTCTCGAACTCATGTGGTAGTAATCATCTCCATTGAACATTCAGTATGTTTTTCGGTTAAATGGTGTGTGGAATATCTGCTATCTCTAGAAATGACTAGAAAATATTTCATTTTTCTTGTACATGAAGATCTTGAAAATAGACATTATGATTTCTTAGCATAATACAAATTTGGCAATAAATGTTTGTTAACACGTATAAAATCTGCAATTCTGAAAATCTAGAGAACTAATACAGAAAAAAATTCAATCAAAAGAATGTTTGATAACATCATAACAGTAAAAGGAATATTTCTAAAACTATTTTCTGCAAAACTTCCACGCTAGACTGCTGAAGTATTTTGTGACCACCATTGTTAAATATCTAATTCTATGAAGAACAGCTAAAAGCAATAAATATTATGAATGAGTGGTGGCTCAATTCTAATTTAAAAACAGTTAGGTGCCGCAACGATAAAAGCATTTTCATTTCCATGCTACATCTTCCACTTCAATTTTCATGATATCATTTATTGAATGTTTATACAAACGAATTCAAGTTATGTTGATTATTCATCAATTATCCATGTTCAATCCTCAGTGACGGACAGTGAGGATGTCATTGCTGTCATTGAATTTTGTTAATAAGTAATGCCCTTGAACATCATCAAAATGATAGTGGCGTACAAATCGAAGTTATCCATTGTTCATTACATTCCAGCTGACAGTCTTAACTACACCTTGCAAGTTTCTAACCTTTCTCGATTGGAGGGGAAATTAGTTCGGAAAGAGGTGAACTATCCGCAGGAGAGACGTTCTTCTAAGACGGACAAAGAGCTCGTGCGGGCTAATTTGGCACTCCCGATTTAAACAAAGAAATCCAATAGCAGTAACTTCTCACGAAATATTGTTTCTGCGCAGACTGATTTCGAATAAATGCTCCCATCATTAGCACTGTATGAAAAAGAAACCCATGAATTATTTTAGAAAATCTATAAATTCTTATTAAAACGCTTTAAATCTATGTATTGCTACGTTATTTAGAACCTAGTCACGTTCACGAAGTCCAGATTTTTGATATTTATGGAATGTGGAATTTCAAAACTCTTTATGTGCTAGAATCGTTCAGTGTTGTAGTAGAGAAATGTGGCACAGAACCGGTCTTGATCAAAAGTACACTAGCTCATTCAATACAGTAATGTATTATGCAAATCAAACATTTTTGGTATTTCACAACATAATGAAACTAATATAGATAGGAGAACAGTTTAGGTACATTATTCTGCCAATTTCATAAGATTACTTACTTTTAGAGAGTAGCCATTTATTTGAAAATAAAGGAAGTGAAAATTATCAAAATGATCTGTAATTTTTCACTTATTTTGGATATTTAGAATCCAAATTCATATCAAAACGGAAACCACATATGCATCTTTTTACTCTACTTTTGACGGAATGTTTGTCCCGAATTTACATAATATCAAAAGTTTGGAAACAGTTGCAAACAAGGAGTAAGAATTATTTCAATATTGTTATCTGTTACAATATACATTATAGTCCTTCCAAATGAGCCTTAAAACTGAATTTTAGAGAATACCTAGATAATTACAAAAAATTTAAAAGAGCCCGTTCCTCTTACTAGTATTAATCAAATAATGGATGTCAACTTTGATCAACATAATATTTCATTCTTGAATAATGTCAACACATCATCACCATTCCCACAATTTTTTCTAGCATGCTATATTCAATGTACTTTATTCCATAAACAAATTGGTGAAGTGATAAAGACAACATAATCATTTTCCTACTCGATATTATTTCACTCGGTAGTATTTTACTTTGCTTCTACTCGATAGTACTCTGTTGTTAAGTCTCGCAATTCTCTATTAATACGAAGTAACTCAAAAACTCATGATTGCATGCTCTTGTGTGTAAATGAATATTCAAAACTAATGTAAGTTCTGCCCAGAATTGACAGCTTTCAGATATCACGAAAATAGACATCTCCAATAGAAAACGTTTCAACTTTATCAGTAAAATTTCCCAAATATCCTATCACAAACTAATTATTTAACCGTTATTTTTATTAAGTACACAAACGTCTGCCTATTTTAAAATTCGGCGAACACCTTTTGTATTTCTCCAATTCCACAAATGCTTTCAAGGAATGTTACAGCATAAATTGAATAAATAAAAAAGTGTTCCTTTTTTCTCCCATTATACTTATCAACAAAGAAATGGAAACATTCTCTTCTTTTTTAATGTGTATTCGAAATCAATCGTGAAGTTACTGGTAAGTAAATTTTTTACTTAAGTGTGTGTTACTTAGTATTTACATTGACATCCACAAACGAGTTTTTATCACGCTGAGGCACTTTAAATTAAAGCCCTGGCAAAGAAACTGATCACACTCCATTTCGTGATCGATTGAATAACTTTCAGAGATTACTTTATCGGAGAAAGTTCTAAGTCCTATCCTTAGATTGCGAGGTCAGTGCGATCGTTAGCCAAGAAACTTCGTGTTCACCGCGGTCCTCGGCCGATGTAGCGTGGGTTACATCGCCCGAACTGACCCTGCTCCTCAAGGTACAACTTTCTAACTCAGAGATTGTAGATAAGGCGTCACTCTTAATCACAAATCTCTTTTCGTTCTTGTCTAGGACAATGTTTCTCGTAATTATTTTATGCTATTAATGGAAAATTGGATGTTCATTCAATTTAGAAATACTGATAATAGTTCCATTTGTGACAATTCTGGTTTAAAAAAAATTATTTAATTCACGCTTGGTACATTTTCGTTTTCTGTAGTTTCTTCAAAAAGTTACATCTCAAAACAATCCTTCGTTATTTTCATCTGAATGTTATTTCACTATCCACTTGATTCATAAAAAGATGGCATTGATGTGATTAAAGAGTAATTACCTTTTTCTTTGCAAACTAATTTAGCGCTCCAGGAAAATTTCTCCGCAGAGGCACCTTTCTGGTCAAGGTGATAGCAACAGAAATGATGTTGGTAGCAAAAGGTGCAGCTTGTAACAAAAGAAAACGAAAATACTGTACTCACCACACTTATAAAATATGATGGAACTGTGGTCTAATTCACTTGTTTCCCCGGGACATTACGCTATATTTAACTAACATTAACTCAATTTTTAGTATGATGCTCTGATTTGGCACAGTAGAAAGAGAATTTTCTGGCACACTATATCTTTATTGTGTCCAGGATTAAAGGTTCTCACAGTCCGGCGCGGGAGATCCGCAGCGGGTGCGGCGCGGAATTCTCTGCACTAGACGCGGCGGCGGAATCCATTCACACCGGAGCGTCAATTATGATTCCGCGTTTGGTGACAGTTTTCCTCATCCGATAAACAAAAGCAAGGGGATCTCGATCCAGAGGGGAACTAAGACTCCGGAAGGCAAGCGGACATCCACGAAACTCGAGCGGCAGAGGTCGAAAGGCGTCTCACGGCGTCTCAAAATTCGCTGGTAATAAAACGCTGCCAATCGCTGCCGCGACGCTCGCCTGCCGCGCAGGTCTGAAGTGCTCATAAGGCAGCACGTGGCGCGAAATTTCCGCTGCGGCCTTTCCGCGTTGGCTGCGGGGCTTCCGCGAAACCTGAACAGCTGAGAGAAGTGAGGGTAAAAAGTTAGAGTCGGCAATTAGGATGAAAAGTGAGGTGTGAATGAGAGAATGAAAAATGAGTGTGGAACGTGAGAACGGAAAGTGAGGGCGGGCTGGGAGAGCAGGCGGGAGAACGGACACACATCCACTGTTATCCCTTACTGCCCATTATAATTTCCCGTTACTGCTGCCTACGCATATTTCATAAAAGAAACTGTCTGTATGTTTCTAAGTATTACACAAATTTACAATCACTAAAGCGATTGCTCTAAAAGGCACGAATACTTTTGATGGGTCAAGAATAAACGATACATATTCAAAAACATAGATTTAAAAAATCCTTTACTAAAAAAATCATTAAATATATCAATTATTATCATTATAAATATTAACAGCAAAGATGGCTCTAGGCATCCACTGATGTCACTGCAATGCTTCTGACCAGGAGGACCTATAGTCCCAACGTGGAAGAGTTTTCGCCACTAGTTAGACATCTAGTTCGAATTCAGCCGCTATCTGGAGGAGATCTTCTAGTGGCCGGCTACCCTAACAAACGGGCGACGGACTGCGCGAGATCTTTCCCTTCCCTGTACTATCTTCACCCCTTACTTACATACACTTATGCTCAAACGTACTACACTACCACACTTATTGGGAGACCAGTCTGGAGCCTGTCATGACTAGGGCGGTGCCCGGCTGAAGGGAGATACGTAGATAGGGTAACTCCTAGCAAGCCGACGAGAACAGCGTCGGATTTTGCCATCGAGCTGGGAACGATCGTAACCACCCCCCGCTGTAAAAACCTGCACTTCACTTACGGAACTAATGACAACAGTTGACGCTCCCGGAATCGCTAACCTTTAATAAACAGCAATCAAGAAATCCGCGCGGCGATGGAGTACGGTTAGCGTATCGGACTGGTATAGTTGGCGCGTTCAAACCAGATCGAATTGTGGATTTTTAAGGGCGAAAAAATCATTCGTACGCCTTCCTTCGGAGAGGACGTAAAGCCAGCTGTCCCATGTTAGTAGATTTACTTGCATGTAAAAGATCCTCAAGCCTAAACGACGTAGCCTCTGAGCTAAATTCAAAATCGTCGGTTTCTCGCCCAAGAAATACCTCCTTTCTCTGCTAGTTGGTGAAAGGAGCGTAGCGAAATTTGCGTGGTCAGAGGGAAGAGCGGGCCTGATGGCCCGAGTCTCGCCACGTAAAATAAGGCATTAATTCAATTCAATTCAAAGAAATTAAAATAAAATTTATATTCATCATCGAGGAAAATATCTTTAAAAGGAGACGTCAAGTCGGTTGGACCCTCGTAGCCCGCATTCTCCCTGGGTGAGCCTCTAAACATGTAGTTTCTTCAACGCTCGTAGTTTTAGGAAAGGTAGAGTACAGTCATGTTCGGAATCGTGTAAAATGTTGGTAAAATCATTAAATGGTGTAGCACTTTCTTGCAACTGCCCGAAATCAGTATGTAGATATTTCCTAAAGCGTTTCTCAGAAATGCTGTTAAGAAAATTGGCAAAGTTGTACAGCTTAAGGATTTGTGTTGCCGCGTCTGTGCTCCATGTGGCCATTTATCACCAGCATGCTACGATACTACGGCAATTTTATGTTTTGGTTTTGTAAACTTTTCAACTCTTTACTTAACTGCACTCTAGCAACAACCTTGCGCAACTCTGTGGGTCTTTCTCCAATGTCCACAGTTTTTTTTCTCTCTCGCTCGGAAGATATATGCGACTAACTACGGGAGAGGTTTGGAGTTATTTATCTGTGGTCACAGAAAGGGTAGATTTTTATTCTCGTTTTTTCTCTGAGGTTTTTTAAATAAAGCTTCTGCGGCAAAAATCGTGAGGAGGGTGTGAGAGTACACATCAGTGTAAAATCATAGTAGTTTTCTGGGATCGATTATTTAATTCTCTTGGGTTTGACTTCAATCTTTGGTGAAAAGATTTTATTGGTTTTGTTATTCAAATGGTGTGATACTAAAGATATCACTTTTGACATAACCGCAGTTGTAAATTGATAGAGGGAAATTAATCTACCACTCGCGTATGTATATACTGGGCGCGACAGCCCGTGAACGGACTCAGGTCTACCGACGACGTCTCTGCCTCGCGGCCATGAGTTAAGAGGGTACACGTAGGGCCATGGGTTAAGACGGTAAGCACGTAGGCATCCCCACGCCGAATTCCCGTCTTCTCAACCTGTGATATGAATTTTCTTATCGTCACACAGCAACATATACTGGGACATTGCAGGAGAAAAACTCACACTATAGTCTTGGCTCGACCAGGAATTGAACTCTGGGACGCGTAGTGGGAAGCGGAAAGCCAGCACGCTGCCCAAGAGCTAGTTACGAGCACAATATACCACTCATGCCGAGTTTAATTGAAACAATATGGCAGTATGTGGTAGCATGTATAAGAAAACTCTTGAGGATATTAATTTCGAAAAAAAACAAGCCTTTTATTTCGTACTATTATTATTTCGTACAAATTTTAGTATTAGTTTTAACATTTACAAAATACAATTCTAACAATGAAGGATTTTTACATTATCCGAAATGTCACTGGCCAGGCAAATCGCTTTACATTTCCAGCTCTTAACCCCAACAAGTATGGTCAAAAATAATTCAATGGTAAACCAATGGTCAACAATAATCGTTCCATTCGCTCCCGCGTTGTGCTAGTCTGTATTTTCCTTTAAATAACTTTTTTGTTTCAATTGAACTACCATGCATATCCACAGGTAAAATTTAACAGAGAAAGTAGTTGTTTCATACGAAATAAAGAGAATGATTCAAAATAAATGAGTTTTATTTTATTGTTAAATGACCAACAATGCGAAGTGTATCTGATATTTTGTGTGGTACAATATCATTCCAATTTGGGAAGTGACGCAATACATTCATATGTGTTTACTGATATGTTTTACTAGTCATTGTCAGTCAAAACAGGAAAAAAAGGAAATGACGTATAACGAAAAATCTTTATCGAATAATTAATATTTTTTGAATTTATCCAAGTACAAATTATTAGGTAGAATTGCCTCCAAAATTTTCACAGTTAAAAGTACCAGTCTCTTTAGTTATCATTTGTAGTTGGATTTGAAAATGACATTGGAAACTCATCAAAAGTTACGAATCAGTTCAATCTAGTTTCGAAATTAATTCAAGAATAGGTTTGTGCAGTCTCGAAGGAATAAAACGTTCTCTCAATAGAAATTTGTTTTCCAAAATATTATTTTTCATTTTAAACCAGATCATACACAAGTGAAACAGAACTCTCATTTAAATAACACTTTCATTTTTGCTACCGACGTTGGGCAAGCTAGTTGAAACACCCCTTATATTAGTATTGAATTACTTAATAGATTTCATTTAATAACTTTCGTTAGGCTAGACGACCATTTATAACATTCCTACTTTCCCTTATGATATTAACAATGTCATTATTTCTTTTCTTGCCGAGATATGCTCACAAATTCTCTCAATATTAAATTATTATTATTATTATTATTATTATTATTATTATTATTATTATTATTATTATTATTATTTATTATAGTAAGTTCACTTTCAAATACAAAAATTAGTTCGACATACAACATTTGGACCTCTTTTTCTTCTCTATTTCTCTCCTTATCTGCTGCATGTGGACGTGTAGTTCTATACAGAATACGATTCCTGAAAGTTCTCTGGATCAAAACTAACTATTGAATTGATGGCATCTACTGTCAATTATCAGATTTTTTCTTTCCAAAATCAAGTTTAACATTTATTGTTACATCTTTACCCAATTCTTAGAGCTTATTAATTAAATGATTAACATTTTAATCTGTACAACATGAATGTACCGTACTGTATTCAAATATAGTTCGTAC